TTATAGATTAATATCAAAATCGGTAGATCTACCGATTAATCGGTAGCAATGGCATCACTGGATAGGTGCCCTGGTTTGTGTTTCAGTCATTGCTTTAGATACGTAAGCACATGGAAGTTGATTTTGTAGTAGACACGCCCCCATGCCTGACTGAGAGCTATCAACTGAAGTTGTAGTTTCTCCATCTACATTAGCTTTGTCCCAACATCTCACAAAACCGTAATATTACGGTCATCGTCATGCGCAGTAAATAAAAACCGTTCGACTTTGGGCTTTATTGATAGGTTTTTATTTACTGCGCATGACGATGACTGTAATATTACGGTTTTGTGAGATGTTGGGACAAAGCTATTATAAAATTGTAAAACTGGTTTTTGTACCAAAGTATTTTTTAATATTTCGAATGAACGTTCCTGCTCACAATTCCATTGAAATTCTACATTTTTTTTAAAGCATGCGTAATGGTTCAGTCGTTATAGAAATTTTTTTTGATGAACTTACTAACATATGTTAATATACCTAAAAGTCGTTGCACATCTAATTTATTTTGAGGTCGCGGTAGTTCTGTAATTGCCTGTATTTTAGTATTGTCTGGACTTAATCTATGACGTTTAATTGTGTGACCCATGTAAGTAATTTGTTTTTGCCCTAACTTGAATTTATTTAAATTAAAGTGAATATTATTTATTTTTGCAATTTCAAAAACCTTCTTTAACCTTAGGTCATGCTCTTGTTTGTCTTTTCCCCAAACTAATATGTCATCTATATAAGTATCTGTGCCCTCGATGTTGAAAATTTCTTTAAATTTTGTTTGGAACACCTCTGGGGCTGATTTTATGCCATATGGCAGCCTCAGGAATTTATAACGCCCAAAGGGTGTTCCAAAGGTACATAAATTTGAGCTCTCATTATCCAATGGAATTTGGTAGAACCCTTGTGAAGCATCAAGGGTGTTAAATATTGTTGCACCTACTAACTTACTTGTAATTTGCTCTAAAGTTGGGATAGGACAATATTCGCGTTTAATAACTTTATTTAAGTCTATTGGGTCCAAACATATCCTTAATTTATTGTTAGGCTTTTTAACTAGAACTAAAGCATTAACCCAATCAGAACTACCATCAACTTTTTCTAAGCCTTTAAATGATTCTTTTAGTATTTTAAGGAGAGGAAAAGCTACTTTTCTAACTGGATGTACCACAGGTTTGGAATTCTCCTCTATTTCAATGTGATAAGTTGAATTTATACACCCTATGCCTTGAAATAAATAATGATTTTGTTTAATTTATTGGCTGTATGAATTTAAATTAGAATTTTCAACCGAATCTACATTTATTATTAAATTTAGGCTCATGCTAGTTTCTAGCCCTAGAATTGCTTCTGTATTTGAGTTTACTATGTAGAAATTAATATCATAGACTTTGTTATTTTTTAAACATGATACCCGAGAATACCGATCAAGGAGAAGCAACAGTAGCTGTCGGTGCCTTTGATATCGGATGTACCTTTTTCACAGTATGACTTTGACTGATACACAACTTAGCACGCTGAGAAAACATGCTTATTTTCTACACTGAGCGAAATAGTTTGGCAAATTATCTGAAATTATTGTTATAGTCCATGCGCAAATGTTGCAATGTGATTTAGTTACATTGAAGTAGTTGGGGTTAATAGCAATGCTGAAATTTCGGCACCAAAATATAATTCATTATGTAATAATTAATTATTTATTATAAAATTAAAAGACGTTTATTATTTTATAATTTATCTATTAAATTTGTTCAATATTTGGTTTATTTATTGTTAAAAATGTAATAAAAGCCCCATGTTTAAATTAAATTACCTTTTCCTTAACTAAAAATAAGGTAAATAAAATTAAGGGTGTCAAAAAAAAATTAGGTAACAATTAAAAAGACATTAAGTTTGAGAGGTTTAACTAAATATTTGCAATGTGCATATATTTTCAAAGCTTTTAGGTTTAAAAGTACTTACATATTTTTAGAATTTCTAGATTTATATTATATTAAATGGACTTTTAAGTTTATCACTCATTTCTGTAGAAACAAGTGTTTTCTCGCCAAGTTAAACCAGATGTCATTTAAGGTTCATGTATTTAGAGTTAAATGCCTGGCCTAGCTATTACCCAGACAATACAAATATGTCCATTGGACGTCCATTCGATATACAATTTTGGATGTCTAGACAGTGTAGTATACAAATGGCACACTTTTGACCATTCAGAGGACGTCCAATTCTGGAATATATTTGGACGTCGAATACTGGACATTCAAAAAACGTCCAGGATTATATTTCCATTGATACACATCCCCACTATTTTACAGAACCGCAACTCACCACACATTATTTTATATTATTAATAATTTGTTTATTATTTTCGCAAATCGCTATACACCATTTATTTATTTTTTATTAAAAATCGCTTGACCTGAGCAGGAATCGAACTCACGACACATCCATTATCGTTTTACGCTTTCAATCGCTAGACGAGCTCGACCAAGGAACCACTTGAAAACTTTTTACTAGATACAGTTATAATTAAATAAGATTTCAAACTGCCGCTGATAGAATGAAATGCAATAGATTCAATTTGTCAATTTTTAATGACCAGCTATATTAAAAAAAAGAAGTATATATAGATGGGTATTATCTGGTAGGCTTAATAAATAATGACCTAAGATGGACGTCCACTGGACGTCAAAATACTTACTGAACTTAAAATTAAGTCCAAAAACAGACGTTCTCTGGGTATCGATATTCAGCTGTCAATTTAATTAGCATAAACGGACGTACACTGGATGCCCGGATATGGACGTCCTGACCCTCAAATAGATCTAAAGTGGACGTCCATTGGACTATGTCATTCAATAAATGTAAATATGAATGGCAAAACATTTTTATATTTTGACATAATTGTAACTTACAATTTAGCCATAATAAAGGGATTTTGCCCACTTTGACCAATCCTAATTGAAATACGCGAATTTATTATATTTTCTTAAATATAATTTCAAAATAAAATAAACAAAATCTGCAGTTCATTGTTTATTAAATTTATTTAAAAGAAGAAAAACATATATTTCACAAAATACAATACCTACATATGAAAAATAAAATGTCAAAAATGATTAAATCATTATACTAAATATTTATGCATGTGATAAAATTCTTTGTTTCATAATAACTTTTTTGGCACATTTTATATTTGTATTAGAATACCTAAGTGTGTAAAAATCTTCATCTTATTACTACACAAAACAAACAGCAAAAAATATCACTTAACATTGCTCACGTACTAAACACAACTTGGACTGACTTTCACAGATAACATAATTTTGAGTGATACACAACTTATTTTCGCACATGCGCGTTACAAAACGGTACACTGAAAACACCAAGCTGTCGCTTCTCTTTGATCGGTATTCTCGGATGATACTACACACGTTACCATGACATTTAGTGTACTCCCTGTGTATGAACGCAAAATACTAGCTGTTTTTGAAATTGAATTTAAATCAGGACCTATTTCTTTAAAAATTTTTAGAGGGAGAACATTTGCCATAGCCCCTGTATCAATTTTGAAATTTATTTTCTTGCAGAAGTCTTTCTCGAATTGCAGATTGCAGGATTATTTTCCCTAACAAAAACAAAAGGTTATTTGTTGCCCATTTTTCCACGCAAGCCGTTTTCACTATATGATTAATTAATAGAACTAGGCTTCGGAAAACCAAAGGATTTAATTTTGCAAGTGGCTAAAGGGTTGAAATAAGGGCGTAATCTTCAAAGGAAAATCGAGATTTTGCTCGATTTTTCCACACAAGCTCATCGAATGTATGAAAACGTACGTCGTCACTAGTCCGAAAAACATATTTTCTTGAATAACCCGAATGTATAAGTGCATTTTAGGGTTGAAAAATTTTTCTAATAAGGAACATCGATCTTTCCATGTGTTATCCTCAAGAGCCACTCGTAAATTTTCTTTTATTCTACTCAACATCGATGTACTTTTCAACCCTCTTCGAGGCTTGTATGCGAAAATAAGGTACCTAAATCGCTCACTATCTGACGGTCTATAGAGCGGAAGTGGAACGAGCTGTTTTGTCAACCAGGGAAAAGTTGGAACTATGTGTTTAAAATGATGGAAAGCAATTTGAACATTTGGGACAGCATTGCATATTAGGTCTTTTGTTTGTGTTTTTCAAAGCTTACTTGATATGCAAATATACACCCTCAATGGATTATTATACTTATAAGTAATTATGCATTCTTATCTAATATCGTTTGATTATTTAAAATATGTAAAAATCATGGTTGGGCATTAGGTTTTGCAGAAATTAATAAATTCTTGAAGGGGTTGAGTGGTGTGTACACACTGGGTAATAAATACCCTTTCGATTAATTTCTTAGAAATTTATAATTTTGATTTATATCTTAAAAAATGGACCTAGTAGAAAATGTTGGGTCATTAAATGTGTTACGTTTTATTTATATTTTTGCTAAAATCTGCGGTTTGAAAAGAGATATCCAAATGCCGTTTTCGCCAAAGTATTGGGCTTTTTTTTTATTTAACTATATAAAAAGGTATATATCATTGTATTTAAATTTTTCGTAAAATTTGTAAGTTTTTAACTTAACGCCCTCTAGCGGCGTTCATAAAACGTAAACAGCCACAGTTTATAAAGCTAAAAATGAGGCTGAAAAATCTCTTCTAAACGAAATCAAGTTCACCAAATTGGGTAAAGCCAAACGTGAGTTATGAGCATTTTTCCAAATTAAAGTTTAATCTTTCTCCACCACTCTATTTCACAACCGACAAAAATTAGAAAACATTGAAGATTAAAATAGTAATATTAATACATCTCTTAATGGAACACCCGGTACACATCATATATTCCCCTTTTGAAATAAAGAATTGTCTTTTTCTAAAGATAAGATTAAAACAGGACCAAAAGTTAAACATTGTCGATTTTTATATGTTGCAGGATGGGTGCTTGTCAATTACCCCACGACATTCGATCAAGCGGTGCTATTTGAAGAAGCGATCAGTGGACTAAAAATACCAGGTGTCTTGCCAAAACACAAAATTGTTAAAAGTTTAGCGGATATAGTTTATATGTGCGAAGAAGCTACAAATGAACTTGAAGAACTTAGACATTCAAATTTAGTACCTGATCCAGCTGAAAAGCGCGAACCTCTAGCCTATGATACAGTATTAACTGCATTTATAAATGTCGAACAAGAAGGTATTTTTTTGTACATTTTTTTGTATTAATTACATTTAGGGGTGTATTGCTAGGTTAAAATCCCTGGATAATAAAGAAATGGCAGTAGGTACTTTTGTAGACATTGAAGGATCTTTCTGTAACGCTTGTAAAAGATGTGACAAACATGAAATTACCTCTGTTGAATGCCTTAAAATTATGACTCGACTCATTACTAGTGTACTCTAGGTACTAACAAGTCTTATTATCCGTTTATATTACACACTATGCTTTTGGATTTTGACACTTCACTGACTAGGTCGAATAGTTTAATCCAAAAAGATTTAAGAAATCTACTTTCTAGGTTGTGTTTTGATAAGAGGCCTGGATAGTCTCGATATTTCAGTGTGATGAAGTGGCTGTCCTTCCTGGGCTGGTAAATCAGCCTCTTCATTATCATTCTGTTGTCTTTCGCCTGGTATATAGACTAAACTTAATCTGTTTTAAATACACATCTTGATTAGGGCTTCAAAACAGTTCCATACAAGAGTTGTATGTACCGACATGGAACTGAGTGCTTTTAACTTAACGTGTCGTTTGACTGTCGGAGTATATACCAATGCAAGGATGAAAACTGACGTCAGGATCATCCTTATATAGCTTGCTAGATAGCTGTCTTGACCCTTCTCGAACTTTCTCGAACTGTCGTCTAGAATATTCTTGACGGGTAATAACATTTCCAGACATTTCTGGACTACCCAGGCAGCAGACTGACGACATTTTTTGGTAATTATTGGTCATCGACGTCATGTTACCAAAAAATGAGGTGATTATGACGTCACTTCTTTAACGTCTTTTTGACGTCACAAATTCGACGTCAGTGTGACGTCAATTTATTGTCACTATTAAATTAAGGTTTATATTAAACGTAATTTCAATACATTTTATTAATTAAAATGATATGGCCTAAACAATTATGGTTTAAAACTCTTAGGTCTATTAACGTTTAAATCTGGCGCTTAAAATGCATAAAGATTGAATGACACCACGTAAGACATGACTGCGTCTGCCTTTGGTTATCGGTCTGTGGAGTATGGCTCGTGTGTGTTCGAGCCGTTCGAGGAAGCACGAGGGCGATGAGTAACATTCCACTTATTTTTCTATCTGTACGTTTCCTATAATAGCCGCAGGCTACTGCAGGGTGCTGCGTAACATTGCTCCCTCCTCTCTAGTTATTCGCCCTGAATAAATTGATTACTGGGACCTAGTTGGACCCAACGGGGAGGATCTACTCGTTTCTGTGTAGACTATAGAAGATTAAATCAGATAACGCAGAAAGACAGCTATCCACTCCCCCGAATAGACGACACACTAAACACTCAGATGCAAAATGGTTTTCTACGCTAGACTTGAAGAGCGGATACTGGCAAGTATAAGTACATCCTGACGAACGAGACAAAACTGCTTTTTCAACTGGCAGCGGATTATACAGATTCCAGGTTCTCCCGTTTGGTATCTGTAATGCCCCAGCTACCTTTGAACGTCTAATGGAAATGGTTCTCAAAGGATTAACCTGGAAAACTTGTCTAGTATATCTCGATGACATAATGATCATGTCAAAAACTTTTGATGAACATCTACGAAATTTGAGTGAAGTATTTGACAGATTAAGAAATGCCAATCTAAGGCTTAATCACAATAAATGTTCACTGTTCCAGTCAGAAGCCTTTTATTTGAGACACATCGTTTCCGCAGAAGGAATCAAAACTGACCAGGAGAAAATTGAAGCTGTCAGAGATTGGCCGAAACCAAGAGACAAAAGGGAAATTAGAAATTTTCTTGGACTTTGCTCATATTACCGAAAATTCGTCAGAGACTTTGGTCAAATTGCTAAACCCCTTCATTGACTAACTGAAAACAGTAGTCTATTTGACTGGACGCCGGATTGTTAAAATGCCTTCGCCGATTGACCACGGCACCCATCTTAGCGTACCCTCAGGAAAAAGGACATTTTATTTTAGACTGCGACACGGCGTGGGCGGTGTGCTATCCCAAGAACAGGAGGGAGAAGATAAAGTAATTGCGTATTTTAGTAAGACCTTAGGAAAAGCTGAGAAGAATTATTGCGTCACAAGAAAATAACTTTTAGCTATTGTCAAAGCTCTCGAATACTTCCATTTTTAACAGAAGTTTTATTATTAGAAGTGACCATAGCGCCTTGCAGTGGCTGATGAATTTTAAAAAACCTGAAGGACAAGTTGCTAGATTGATAGAAAGACTGCAACAATACAACTTCAAGATAGTGCATCGAAGAGGACATCTCCATAGCCACAGACATTCTTTCCAGGCAACCGTGTTTAAAACGACAATGCCGGTACTGTAAAAGGCTTGATAAACGAGAGGAACTGGTTGAAGAAGTTAGTCTTCAGGCGACCACTATCAAGCCAGAGGATGACGAAGACGGAATCACCCCTAAAAGCCTAAGAAGGACTCAAAAGAAAGACAATTACTTGAAGGTTGTCCGAGAATGGCTTAAAAATGGAGCCAGACCTACATGGCAGGAGATAGTCAAATATAGTGGAACCATTAAAGGGTACTGGACTCAGTGGGATTCCCTGTATCTTCACGATGGCCTATTGCACCGAAAGTGGGAAAGCCCCGATAGAGTACTTGTAGTCCGCCTAAAAGGTCACTTGCACGAGTTCGAGAAAGATTATATTGGGTTAATTGCCGACGGGATGTAGAAGATTGGTGTAAGGAATGTGACCTTTGTAATGGCAGAAAAGGGCCCAAAACAAGAAGTCGAGGTATAATGGCACAGTACCTTTCCGGAGAGCCTTTCGAACGAATCGCCATATATATCTTCGGACCACTTCCCTTAACAGAAAAGGGAACCAAATACTTAATGGTTGTTATGGACTATTTCTCAAAGTGGCCCGAAATAGTGCCTATTCCTAATCAGGAAGTAATGACAGTAGCGGAAGCCTTTATGACGAACGTCATTGCGAGACACAAAGTCCCCCTGGAATTACATTCTGACCAAAGACGAAATTTTGAATCCGAATTATGGCAAGAATTGATGAAACTGTTAGGTATCAGGAAAACCCCCACTACGCCTCTTCACCCAAAGTCCGATGGAATTGTAAAAAGACATAACAGAACGATATGCCAGTATCTTTCAATATTCGTCTCTGATAATCAAAAGGACTGGGACACTTTAATTCCTCTATTTCTGCTAGCCTACCGAAGTTCTGAACATGAAACGACCAGTTATACTCCATCCATGATGATTACTGGAAGGAAGATGAAACTTCCCCATGATCTTCTTTTTGGAAGGCAGCCTCCTGGTGAAGAATAGGGCCGTACACCTCCCACGTATATACAGAACCTAAGAGAAAGATTACAGAAGGTACATGAATTCGCTCAGCAACGTTTGAAAGTCAGAAGCGATAAAGCAAAAGCTAGAATCGACATTCATGCCACAGGGACACATTTTGAGAGAGGTGATCCAGTATGGCTGTACAATCCCAAGCGCCGAAAAGGACTTTGTCAGAAACTGTAACGGAACTGGGAAGGCCCCTACACCGTCCTCAAGAAAATTAACGACCTGATCTATTGCATTCAGTTGTCAGCGGGAAGTAAACCCAAGATAGTTCACGTTGAAAAGTTAGCGCCATATCGTGGTCCAGATCCTCACCGTTGGCTCCAACCAGCTCCCAGTGATCAAGTTATTCGAGGCGAATAACTAGAGAGGAGGGAGCAATGTTACGCAGCAACCTGCAGTAGCCTGCGGCTATTATAAGAAACGTACAGATAGTAAAAGATGTGGAATGTTACTCATCGCCCTACAGCGTGCTGCGGTCGTCATAAGTAAAAGTACAAGTAAAAGAAGATAGAATAGTCCAGAAATGTCTGGAAATTTTGTCATTTCTCGTCAAGAATATTCTAGACGACAGTTCGAGAAGGTTCGAGAAGGGTCAAGCAAGCTATATAAGGATGATCCTGACGTCAGTTTTCAATTTTATGATAGACTTTATATGTTAATGGTATCAGTTAAATAGTTGTTGAAATAGTTAAGTTAAAAATAAATTGAGATACCAAAAACCTGTAGGATTACTTTAAAGTGGTATTATGGCGAGGATGTAAGGAACGTGGATTTCGAGGTTATGTATGAAATTAATCGAGCTGATGGATATAGAACCCCCTCTTAAGGATCACCAAGAAGGAATAAATTCTTTAGTACTTTTTCTGAAATCTCTTAATTGTAAGTAGAATTATCACCGAGTTGTATGCCATATGTCCACACTATTTTATATAGATTTTGTTATTGGTTGACAGAGTAGAATATTACCAAATTCTCTGTAAGAATTCATGAGAGTTATCATCTTTATGTATTTAGTTCACTAGTTATTTAGTTTACGAGTCTACTAAAATATTGAAGTTGTTAATTTAAATTTTATATATAGCTTGTCAAATAAACTGTGTTATGGAAGTTTCCAGCCTTTCTTCTGCGTTTACCCAACATTCTTAATCAGTCAATACATTTTTACTAAGCCTAACTCTACACGGTTCTTTTCAACATCTACTTTTCACAGACTTGAAATTATTTTTTTTAGAAAAATGTCATTTTAGAGAATCGCTTCAGTATTTCTTAAGGTTTAGCGGTGCAAATTGACCTTAGTTTCGTTCAGTTTAATTCTCCATTTTCTGGCCCAGTAGTTAAATTGATTGATAGATGTTTATCTTGTTTTTTACTTATAATAGCTAAGACAGCAGTGATATTTGGAAATATAGTATGATGTTATGTTCTAGTTTAGGGTATCAGTGGTGTATTTTATCTATAATAAAGGTCCCAAGATACTCCTGGCTTTTCTTTTATGAAAAGCAACTAAATATTCAGTCCTTCTTTTACTTGGTTTTGGTTGTGTGTCATCTTATATTAGTAAATGGTTTACAATTCTTTTTCCAGAATTTGTTTACCATGTCTTCCAAATTTACTAGTGCGTTATGTGACTTCTTTTCAATATGTAACTACTGCAGTTTTCTCTATTGTACTAATTTTTGCAAGGATTACTAGGACTAGGTATTTGTAATTATAAATTATATTGAAATTGATTTTGTACTTCCATCTAGCCAGTGATTTAAGCAGTGAAAACGATGTTCCAAATGAACTACAGGACATAGAAGACTATTCCAAGCTACAACAATTTTATACTGACCAAGGCTGTAACTATTCCGTATACTACCAACATTTCGATTATTTTACTATCAAACAAATAGCAAAATTGGTAATAGGCGAATTTAGTCTTCCCCCGAAACCCTCGATTGAGTTATTTGGAGAAACCATCACGTATTTGGATCTTAATAAGGGAGATGAGAAAAAAAGCATTCTATCCCTTAAACATGGGGATAAGAAGGAACCGGACCGGGTTGAAAAAGTTGCCAAAAAATCATCAATAGTGGCATCATCACCTAAAAAAGGTAAGATATATCTTTATTAGAATACTTGATCATCAATTGCTACTCGTTCTTTGGTTTATTATTAGAAGATCTCTTGAAAATGATTCTTTAATAAATTAGCAAGTGCCAGCCATGGATGGTGGTTTCATCATTCCACAGACCCATTTTTTAATACGTAAAGGTCTGTTTAGTTTGACTATTTAGTTTAGTCCGATATTGTAGACAGTATCTTTATACCTTCATCATCTGAATTAGGGCGTGGTTCAAAGCCCACTTGTACTGAAGCTCTAGGCTTATTGTACCCCTCACAGTTTCTATCCCATCAGATTGATTTTCTTGATGAATTCAAGAATATGTCTGATGAGCGCTTTCGCGATTTCTTCAGGTTCCGGATATTGTACCCCGAAGTACCATTCCCGTTCCCATTTAAGGTTCCGGCAGTGGCATAGTATGTGAATAGGAGTTCTCTATCTTTATACCTTACACAGTGATTTATAACTGCTTAAAAATAAAACTCGCTAAAAAACTTTTGTAACTTTTTTGAATTTGTTCAATTCAACGAAATCAGAAATAATAATAACAGATTGTTAGACTTAGTCCTGTCAAATTGTCAGTGCACAGTTTTTGATACTTATGATCCACTTGTTAAACAATTAATTTATCACCCACTACTTCTAGTTTTGCTAAATATCAATCGCCTTTCCATATATCGTATAAAACTAAGAACAGTTCAGCCACATATTATAACTATAAAAGTGCCAATTTAGCCGATCTTTATAGAAGTATAGCTGCAGCTGATTGGAGTGGTGTCACTGAGGTCAACGACGTGAATGCAGCCTTTGACATTTTTGACTCAATTTTTTTTTAAATAATAGATTATCACGTTCCCAAAAATAAAGTGAGCAATCGTAATTATCCACCGTGGTTTAATAAAAAGCTGAAGAGAAAAGACAGGTTATTTAAAAAATTTAAAAATACTGATGATCAAGATATTACCCAAGACATTGACATAGCATATCGTAACTACTGCAATGAAATTTAAAATGGCATCAAATCGGACTCTAAAAGGTTTCGGCAATTTATAAAAAATAAAAGACAAACTAATATAATATTCATAAGCTAGCAGATCCTAAAAATATTGCCAAACCATTTTTCGCAATATTTTTGTAACTCATTTTCGGAATCTTTAATCAACAACTATCAAAATATTACTTCTGCTGTTAATTTTGTAGATCAATTAAATATTAACTTCTTTTCCGTGACTCATGTGAAAAAGTCTTATAAAAATTAAACCAAAGCATACAATGGGACCCGATCTCATTTCAGCTTTCCTTCTTCACGATTGTGCATCTGCCTTAGCAGTTCCGCTTGCAATATTATTTAATTTGTGTCTTAACAATAATGATTTCCCTGAATGCTTACGAAATGCTAAAGTAATACCAATATTTAAAAAGGATGATAAACAACTAATAGAAAATTATAGGCCAATAACTATCATTTATAACATATCTAAAGCATTTGAAATATCTTTATACTCTCCTATCTTCGAACATGTAAAAAATCAGATTTTTGAGAAGCAGCATGGTTCTTAAACGGTACGGTCAACCACAACAAATTTATTTTGTATTACTCAAAAAATTTCTCATGGTCTCGACAATAACACACAGGTCAGACTTCACAAAAGCTTTCGATCGTATTGATCACAATCTATTGCTACATAAGTTAGAATCATTTGGATTTTCACAAAATTTGATAACTTTTTTTAAGACCTATCTACTAAACCGATCTCAGTATGTTGAATGCCACGGTCATACTTCAAGAAGCTACGTGGCTACATCAGGTGTACCCCAAGGTTCTGTGTTGGGTCCACTACTCTTTAACCTATTTATAAATGACATTGTAGACCTTTAAAGATATTGATACGCTGTAACTATTATATTATTCTTATGTGCGCTCTAAACTAGAATATGCCTCTGTCATATGGTGTTCCTCACATGATTTTTACATTACCACATTAGAACGAGTACAGCGTAGGTTCTTGAAATATTTGAGATTTAAAAAAGATGGTCTCTATCCAGTTATCGGATACCCCAACATAAATCTCCTTAACAGATTTTGTGTAAAATCACTGGAAGATAGGCGTGACATTGAAGGATTAATTTTTATTCACAAAGTCTTAAGTGCATCTATTGACTGCTCCGAGGTCTTAAGTATGATTAACTTTCTTGTACCTAGAATTACGTATATAGTAAATTCCTCTTTTTATTTACCAACTGTGAGGACTAAGATACAAAATCAAAACCTTTTTATAGAATATGCAACTGCTATAATAAAATTGCAGCATTGCTTCAATAAAACGTATAACGACTACTTAATATATATTGTGTACTTATTTGTAAATATGCTTTATTATTTTTATTTTTTTTTGTATAGTTACCATTTGTTCATATTTGTATTTTTTTTTAATCTGTAAGTTTTCCTACCCTGTAATTGGATTTATCTGTTGGGTAGTGTAATAAAAAAAAATATATATATAAAATGCTTTTCATGGGCATGGAACTGGCAAAAAATATAATAATATTGAGGTAAAATCATATTCACAGCTTTAGAAATAATTTAAAACCACTCACCTCTATTTCAAGATGCACTCGCAATTATACCTTTACTTCAAAGAAGTCGTTGTATATTATTTAAAATAAATAATCCTTTATTCTACATTTGTTGCCTTCATTTAAAATGTCAAAATACCAAGATGTAGGCTACCAGTATAACATTTTGAAAAAATGTTTTGCCTAACATAGTAGTAATTGCATCAAAATGACCGCGCCCTATGTTGGGCGTGTCGGACGTCTCTCTTGCACCGTATGGCTGTGTTGCCATATATACCTATCATGTGTCTGTTAGTGTCCTGTCATTACCTACGGGTAACCATTTTGTTTGGAATGATTAATTCTGTCGGTTAATCCTTGTTTGGGGGTTTATTATCAAACGATCTTTCAATTGCGCTGCAAAAGAAGTATGTGGTCATGTGGTCAAGCAAAGCAGGGTTGAACGTACTGACTAGAATTTGAATTAGATTAGAATTAACTTGGCTTCCGTAAAATATCAGCTAGTGTATGACTGCCTAAAAACAAGTTACAAAAAGCAATATTCAGTTTGCTAAAGCAACTTAAAAACTATGTGTTACTAATGTTTCAGCCCCAAGTTTAACTATAGATACACCATCGGGAAGAAAATCTAGAGTTTTCGCACATGTTGTAAAAGAAGATAAATGGACTCAAATTCCTGAATTAATAACAATTGAAGTAGAGCAAGAGGAAATCACAAAGCCTGGAGAATACGGCTATATTTTCGAAAATTTGTTAATTTCGGACGATATTGGAATGATATTGGTAGAGATTTGGGAAAAAATGGAAGAGATTTACATTAATGATCTAAACCAGGTGTTTTTCCAAAAGAGGGTAATCTCGAACATGTTATTGCCATACGTCGAATTTGCCAAAAATATGATACGTAAATATATTGTCCAAACCGATCAGAGACAACTATTTTTGAGAAAATTCCAAGAAAAATTTAATGAGTTTGATAACGATTTTCGAAAAGATAAAGAATTCAAGGCAGAACTTCATTGTCTGTAAGTATAGAGTAAAACTAGTCGAAAATTTACATAAAGGAAAACATTACCTTTTTCTACGATCACTATCCAAAGTAGGCTTTTGCGCTTCGAAATGCAACCGCAAAGTTGACGTTTTCCGCGAACTGACATTAAGTGACATCTTTGTCGCTCGCCGAGTTGAAAACGTGGCAGCTTTGTTGCTCATCTAATTTAAATTATTTATTTCTTTTTAATGAATGATTTTCAAGTTATTTGTACGTAGTTGTATATATGTTTTTTGTTTCGTTATTCAAGTTAACATAGACATTGAATATCAACTCCGTTTTTCATGAATAACTTAGATATAGGCAACACATTATACACAACTTAGGAGAAATTTTCAATTTTCATATCAATTTCTTGTAGCAAAAATCTTGTGTGCATTTTGAGTGAATAGTTCGTTGCCGCTTTCTATCTCAAGCGGCAGTATCACTTTTCGCTCTCAATACACATTCATTTTACGTAAAAAATAAGCTTTTTTGGGCTTGTTTTTCAGCCAAGCCTACCACAATCTTTATTTAAGAAATTTTTAAGAACGCATGCTAAAAAATCGTCTCTAAATGAATGATTGAATCGAGCACCAAAATTACTCAAGTATGTATATTCTTATTTTCAATACTTAAAACAAAAATCATTCAAGTTTGATTTTAGTATTCAAATACTTAACTCAAAATTTTGCACATTTTTTTACAAATATTGGACCCGATCTTGCTAAAAAATTCAAAACCTCCATTTTTCATTTAAAGAGACGAAATAATAAATATTCATGTTTTATGAAACATGACAATGAAACAGAAATAATTCAATTCGTAATTAATTCATTAAAAAATAATAAGGCTCCTGGTATTGACGAAATAAAAACAGAATTGCTTAAAGAAACTAACACTGAATTAGCTAAACCATTATGTATTTTAAACAACGAGTTAATTTCAGACGGAATTTGCCCAACTGAATTCAAGATCGCTATTATAAAGCCTCTTCATAAAAGATGTGATAAAAGTCTGGCTTCAAACTATAGACCAATCTCATTAATCAATAGTTATGCAAAACTAGAGGAAGTTCTGCGAAGAGGTCTCAGAGATCACCGTCAGCGCTAGAATCCATAGAGTTATAGCCGTCTTTGGCTGTCTAGTACATCTAGTCAAGTAGGATTCCTCAAAAAAGAGGATGATACCTACACCACGACACTAGAGGAAAGTCTAGAGATACTAACTCAGGTGCACTTTCCGGCCTCAACTATCCTAATAGGACTAGATGTAGGAGACCAAGAAAGCTACAGTCACAAGGGGATCAGACCAACTCCAACAGACTGGAAGCTGGCCTCCGAGATCACAAGACCAAACAGGATTAATTGGGCTATCAACAAATTTAAGGCATACAAATCCCCGGGGCCGGATGGAATATATCCAATTCTGCTCCAGAGGGGTAAAGATGTGTTAATGCCACATTCATGCAAAATCTTCAGAGCATGTATTGCCTGGAGATATATCCCAGCAATATGGCAAAAGGCGAAAGTAGTTTACCTTGCCAAAGTAGGTAGGGTCACATACCAAACGCCAAAGTCATATCGCCCCATGAGCCTATCCTCCTTCCTACTTAAAACTCTAGAAAGATTGATAGATAGGTATATCAGGGACGAGATACTAAAAATAAATCCGCTCCATCCCAACCAATATGCATACCAGTCAGGAAAGTCAACTGACCTAGCACTGGATGATCTAAACAGGCTGCTTTCAAAGTCAATAGATGACAAAGAAATCGCAATAGCCACTTTCTTAGATATAGAAGGAGCTTTCAACAATGCCTCAACCAGATCAATAACCAAGGCTCTAGAAGAGAGAAACGTCCCAGTTACAATATGCCAATGGATCACTGCCTGACTAGAGAACAGGATTATTTTATCCACTCTAAGAATGGCAACCATACAGGCAAAAGTTACACGGGGCTGCCCACAAGGAGGAATATTATCTCCAATGCTGTGGTCAGTTCTCGTGGACGACTTACTCAAAACATTGTCCAAAGAAGGCTGCCTAGGATATGCAGACGAACTAGCAATTATCGTCAGGGGACGATTTGTAGGCACAGTCTCGTAGCGATCTCAAACAGCTCTAAACATTTGTCCATTAACGCACAAAAAACAACAGTTGTACCTTTCACAAAAAACGGGTACTAATAGGACTAAGACCACTAGTACTAAACAACATAGTTATTCCATTCGTCACAGAAGCCAAATACCTCTGAGTCATATTTGACCAAAGGCTGCCGTGGAATCAACATCTCAAAAAACTCACATACAAAGCTACAATAGCTCTCGTAAGCTGTAGAAGAATATGTGGGAAAAACTGGGGTCTAAACCCCAAAATGACCATATGGTTATACACAAGAGTAATAAGACCCATGATAACCTATGGTGCAGTGGCATGGATAACCAAAACTGCACAGGCAAGTGCAATAGGCCAACTCACTAGCATTCAGCGGCTTGCCTGTCAAAGTGCTACTGTGGCTATGCGCACTACGCCGACTGCAGCAATGGAGGTATTATTAAATTTCACGTTACTGCACATCTTCATACAAGGAGAAACCAGGTCAGCTATTCACAGGCTAATGCAGGGACAAAACCCAATAAGCCAACTACATAGCGCCGACCACATAAGGCTATATCAGCAAGTAAAAAGGGATAATATTCTAGCAATGCCTACTGATAGAGCCATAACCACATACCAATTTGAAAGAAATTTTTAAATTCAAATACCAGCCCGAGAATCCTGGAAACAGGGACCTCCCGTACAGGCTGAACTCGTCTGGTACACAGACGGTTCAAAAACCAAGGAAGGAGCCGGTGCTGGAATCTATGGACCCAAGTCGAAAACAAAAATTTCGCTAAGTTTAGGAAAATATGCCACAGTGTTCCAGGCTATATACAACACTGTGCAAGAGAAATATTAAATCAGCAAGTATCAGGCAAAACTATTGCAATATACTCTGATAGCCAAGCAGCTCTAAAGGCACTTCTCTCACCAGAAATCAAATCACGACTGGTGAAAGACTGTCTAGAAGACCTGGCAGAGCTAAGTAGTCAAAATAAGGTGACCCTAGTCTGGGTTCCAGGTCATGAAGGATATCAGGGCAACGAAAAGACCGACGAATTAGCCAGAGAAGGCTCAGATAAGGCCATGACAGGCCCCGAACCCTTCTGTGGAGTTGCTAAGGCATTGTGCAAGACATCCATTACACAATGGATGCAAAAAGAGTCTCAGGAATGGTGCAACAACTATCCATGACTGAGACAGGTCAAACAGTTCATTAAGGAACCATCGGCCAAGTTCACGAAAGACCTACTGGATCAAAAGCGTCAAATCGTTAGGATAACAGTAGGCCTTCTGACTGGACACTGTCGCCTCAAAAGGCACATGAGTGTCATAAATCCAGCAGAAGAAGCAACTTTGTGCAGGTTCTGTGAAGAGGAGACATCATTCCACGTCATGTGCCAATGTGAAGGCCTGGCTGGAATGAGGTTTCTAACATTGGTTGAAGAAAAGCCAAATGCATGCAACTACATGCGGGAGCCACTGTCAAATCTATGCAAAACTATTTGAAAAAGTTATAAAAGTTAGGCTTGAATAATTTTTGACTAGCGAACAAATTTTGTCACTCAACAAGTTCGCTTTTCAAACGGGAAAATCAACAGAATATGCTATATCTGCATTAATGTCAAAAATGTATGACGCTGTTAAACAGACGAAACCGGCAGTCTTGAAGTATTCTTGGATCTTGCAAAGGCGTTCGATACTGTAGATATTATAGACAGTTATTGGACGCGGTTTAGGATCCCGAAATACTTGGAACAGCTCTAAAAATGTTCAAATCGTATATTCAAAATCATACACAGTATGTGATTGTCTAGGCTCAGCGCAAGTTGTGAATTGTACAGTTCCGTAAGGGACACTTTTTGGACCAAGTTTTTTATTCTATATTTAAATAATGTACACTTAGCCTAAGCGTTACTGGAAGCATATATAGTTTTGCTGATAATACGGTACTATTTTACACTGTTCAGACTTCATCTGATCTGAAACAGAAAACAGAAGACTATATGAAAACTCTTGATTGGTTTAATTTTCATCTATTAACAATTAATTATGGGAAAACGATGTTTCTACCTGTTTGTAGTTACAAAAACGGATTGCCTAGCTACAACGAATTAAAAATATATAAAGAACAAAAACAGCATAAAAATTAAATTTGTCAATGATATAAAATACCTTGGTATAACAACAGATTCTCACTTACGATGGGACCACCATATAAATAACGTCACTAAAACATTAAGATCCTTTCTGGGACGATTTAAATAACTGTCGAATATTCTAGATCTATATCATTTAAAAATGTTATACTGCTTTATAAACCAAAAGTTGATCCAAAAACTGATGAGATAGACAAATATTTGTCTCTTGTCATAAACAATATCCATGGCCTACTTTTAAATTAGGCAATTAGTTTCTGAGAAAAAGTACTATTATATGTTTTTGAAAAGGTAAAAATAAGATAAATTTTATAGTCCATAAATATACAGGGTGTTTCATTTAAAAAAACAAAGTTTGCTTTATAACTCCTAATAGTAAATATCTACGCATTCTACTGACAAAAATCTATTAGAATTTTATTTCACATTTTCGATAAGTTGAAGAATAACTGAGAAACGAGAGGGTACTAAAATGCAACACTTTCAAAAGTGCCTTGTATAGCGAGAACCGCAACCCTCTATCTTTAAAAATAACGGAGATACCCCGCAAAAGTACACGAAATGGGACACCCTGTTCAACGCGTATTGGATAACGTTCAGTGGTCGACACTGTATGTAATTGATATGGAATGAAAATAAACCATATAGTGAGAGCCAACCTTAAGAAAGTTTTTTGGATATTTTTTCGACTTACTTTTGAGCGATTTTAAATATTGTATGAATAGTATTGGATATGATTTAAATCATCTCATGTTTTCTAGCAGTATTATTCAAAACGACACTGCGTCGGCAAAGAACGCTAATGAATGCATACCTTTTAATTCTGAGTATTATCCTTTAAAAATTATATTCTTGTTTACTTAAAGGTGCGTCCTCACCGAATCAACACTGTCGATCGACGTTGTCAACTATGTATCGACATGTCGATTTGTTTTCCATCGCCTGTCGGTAAACATGAAAGAGCAATCAATCGACTTTAGTGTGTGGACGTGTTTTCGACATTTGACAAACTGTTAGTACTGAGTACTAAGACTCAATAACGTCTTGTTGACATTGTAGTTGTGTTTTCGGAGAAATGGAATGGGAACAAAGTCATAGCCTTTATTGAGGCATACAAACTGAGAACAAATCTATGGGATTTTAAAAACAAAAACTTTAAGAGCAGAAACTTGAGGCACGTTTTCTTGTAATAAATATTCAAATTCACTACATTCGAAAAAAAATTCTAAAACTATCATTACACTGTATTCAAGGCTCAATATGTTGTCGTTCTCTTTTTTTAAATATTCTATCAAATTACTAGCGTTGTATCTAGTTCTACTTTGAAGACGGTCGAACCCAAAATTTTCTTTTGCTTGCAAGTTTTTTTTTTAGTCGCGTTAATAATATATGCGACACAAGCAACTATAATGTCATCTTCGTCAGACATGTTAATTTCGACTGATCGACAAACATTTTTGTAAACTCTGGTGTGGACAGATGCAGTTTTGTAGACTTGCTGATCAACAATGTCGATAGACAGAGTCGATCGGCAGTGTTGATTCGGTAAGGACGCACCTTAATGTTACTGTTTTCGTATTTTAGAATTGACGAACTAAAAAACAGATTTATATATCTAGCGGACCTTCGAATGATGAGAGCAGAACGACAAAGAAAAGATTTCGTTAAAGAAAGCTGGGGCCCTAAACAAATGATTCAACTATTCAACAATTACATAAGCGGCTTTCAGATCGAATTAGACAGAAACTGCGACACGTTGTCATTCATAAACGACTATTTCACCGCTCTCATAACGAAAGTACCGTGCGACGAGATTCCACCGAAAGAAATTTTACAAAAATATAATTCGGATTCTACAGAGATTGAGCAAGAGATTAACAACGTTTACATAAAATTTGGTTCCAAAGAAGCTAATCCATTTGCTCATAGAATTGACCATGTTTACCGCAAGGCAGTGGGAATTGCGGAACGGTACGAAAATAATGCGTTATCAAATTTTGACAAAATTAGCGCATTATTTTTAACTGGACCTAATAAAAAAGGAGGAAAGCCGAAAGCACCCTTAAAAGGTTAGTAATTACATAATTTATCCAACAGCTACTAAAGTAAAGTTACCAATAACAAACTGTATAAAAAAATAAAAATTAAGTTTACAATACCTATCAAAACTTGCGTTTTGCTGTGCTTTCTTTTCGTAATGTTTTTTAAAATTTCTAAATCCACATTTTCAGCCTTCTACCGCCTCCTTTAGGGGCGAAAAGTTAAATTTTGAAATTTTGACGTACAATACCTACTGAAAGTTACATTTTAGTGTTTGTATTCACATTCTTTATTTTTAATATTGTTAAATAACATCTTCAGCCCCCTACTACCCCTTTTAACCAATGTTTAATCCTTTTGTCTTTAAAAGTTCAGGTAAAAATTACTTGAAAAACAAATCAATATTACACGATTAAAACTAAACAACACATTTATTTAAAAAATCGTAAAAAGTACCTAAAGAAATCAAACATAAAAAGCTAACAAATTAAACATAAAATATTACAAATATCAAATATAAAAAGCAATTCAATTACAAAAAAACATACTTACTGAATTTTAAACTGTCGTTTACTTTCAAATGTTGGTATAATATCTTTTGATTTTATTCTTGATTCTGGGCCAGTTACTATATGACTCTAACTAATTTTACGCATGGTGCACAAAGTGTCTTACTTCAACGGCTTCTCGACTGGTTTCTCTAGCTCTTAATATTCTTCGTAGAGATAGTTCCCGAACCCATTCACGAGTGTCTGTTATTATACACAAAAGAATGTTTTCAAGATGTATAAAATACGCGTTTTTTGGATTACCGTATCCACAATACGTTTTAAATCATCTCTTAAATACAGTGACAGTTCAATCGTTTTAAATACATGCAAACTGCCACTAGTGGAACTGAAATTTAGTTTAATATTAAACCACATTGAGGCATATACCTTAATTATCAATTCGGCCATATCCGCAGGGCCGCCGAGAGCCAGGCCGGGCCCCAGGACAATTCTCTAGATCGGGCCCCGTGACAAAAAACAGCTCTTCAAACAAAAACTTTTCCTCTTCTAGTTGAAAAGTCCTCAAGCAAAAACTTTTCCTCCCCTACTTCAATTAAAGTTTCTAAAAAAAAAAACAGCTTCCCAACCAAAAACTTCACCCTCTCGTCTTGTGTCGAAACAAAACAAAAAAAATTCAGTTGTCGGGCCCCCTTTATACCGCTACCGGGCCCCCATTTGAGTCCGGGCCCCGGGAATTAGTCCCGGCTACCCCCCCCCCTCTAGTCGGCTCTGCATATCCGTAAGGCTTGGTTTTCCGTTTCAGCATAGAGCCGATTTTCCATTGTGAGCCATCTAGAGATCGCTTATTTCCCAGGATTACGGTGTGCCAAATTTGATGAGAAATTGCCGCCTGATATTGCATTGCCAATGTCATATAAATATGATTGATCAGAACTTAAATCTCTAGACATTACAGTTATATTTGGCAACTAACGTTTTATTGGGGGTAAAATTTACAATTTTAAGACGTTTACATTTTTCCAAAGACTTTCCGATTTCACCAGAATATTGACGCGGTCCCACTATCTAAATGTTGGAATAAATATCTTAATGGCAATTCGTGGGCGTATAAAAGGCAAATATACCATTGTAAAGGACGTTTCAATGCAGTCCTAATATATCTAATAGCACCATTTTTATTACCGGTGTTAACAGTACCATCGCAACCCACAGCCGCCTAATCATCTGGTTCCAAATTGTTTTTAGCAAAAAAGGCCAATATTGCTTTTCCAATTGACTTTTCCCTCCCTGTAGTTGCAGTTACGTGGCCAATATAGATAGATTCAGGTTCCTCGTTAAACGGTATGTATTCGTTGGCAACAGTTTTCTTGTATATTATCTACCGTTTTTCTTCTCTTGCAGTAAAATTTTGTGCTTTCTTCCATCAAAACTTCTTATTCTCTATTATCACTTTCAAACTCCTTCCTTGCGGTATTTCTAGATTTATTTCGCTCTCTTCTCACTTTATTTTTGTCAACTATTTTTGACGGATCTTCTGTGGTAATTATTCCTACATCTTTTAATACTGCACTGGCAATCTTAGCAGCTGATCGATCAGATATACCATATTTATCGCATACAAGACCTAACGTAGTAACTTTGTTCTCATTTGAGTGTTTTTTGAGGTAGAGAGTAAGTTTGGAGTGACCCTGACAATAATGTAGTAGTTTGAGGGGAACAGCTGGGTCTTAATAAATTGCAAGATTCTGATTCATATTTTTTTATTCTTTCGATTTCTCTGAATTGCCTTTGTTTATTCGACATTTTCTTTGTTTCTCCGCGATCTACATTTCCGATGCTTATTTTTCTGAACGATCTTTCATCAGAAAGAAAATTTTGTTTCTTAATAGGTAATTTAGTAGTCTTTTCACATATGGATGCAGAAAAATCATATTTACAAGCAGCTATGTCAAGTAATTTTTTATGACACTCTATTTTAAATGTATTTACCTGTTCGTCATAGCTGTTGTTTCGATTGTTTCGATTGTTTCTGGGATATCTTATTAAATTCTTATATTTTTCATAATACATCCGTATTAATTGCACAATTCTGTCTTTTAAAACAGTTGAAATTGATGCCTCTTTCCAAATGTTTTTAATTTTAGGCGCGAGTTCTAAAAATATGCTTCTTTACCACTATATTTTTGATATTTTAGTTCATAGCGTATGAATAAATAACATCGTAGCATTTGTTCAATTGTCGGCAACAAGGTTCAAATTGGTTGGGTTCCCAGGACATTCCACCAAGGGCGGCTCCAGGGGGAGAGTCATGTCCCCCCCCCCCCCGAAAAGAAAATTCTCACGATTTATGAGCCTTTTATTTAAAAAATATGCTAAAAATGGAATATCTAAAAGCAATGGGCGCTGGTAGAGGGCTAAAAATATAATTTTTAAATAGTGAAAAAATTTACAAGCAGTTTTTATAATGAAACGCAGCTTTTAAATGCTATAGCAAATTAAAATTTTAACTTTAATTTTTTTGGCCCATCCTACTGTATATACAGTGAGTTATGTTAATTAGTGTCTGGATAATCAATTATATTATGTTGTGATAGTTTTATAATTAAAAGAATACATTAGAAGTCTTTATTCATGAACCATCATCAATGACCAATCACCAGTGACCATTGACACTTGATAAATCTTCTCTCTAACTAAATAAAATGAAACATAATAAATAAAACAATATCAAGGTAAAATGAAAAAAAAAATCTTTGAAGCAAGATTTTGATTATTTTTACAAGTATAATCTAGTAGTAGCCTTTACAATTCTCCCTGATCTAGTTCGCTTATAGTTTATTTCTTTTTCTACCTTTTTTTCATTATCTGCTCCTTGATTGTCACTCCTTTCTGTATCACTTAACTCTTAACTTTCACTAAGACTTTTACAATGTCTACGAGAACATTCAATTTCATTTTCATTAAACAAATGAGCATTCTGTATAGGTACTCTTCTTCTGTGTTTAACTTTCTTATTAACAATTCGGTTCCTTATTAATTCTTAACTCTCCTTTACTTTTACAATGTAGGTTTTATTTCTATTACTTTGTTTCCAATTTTAAGTTCATTTAATGATTTAACCCCTTTTTTAATAAATATTTTTCCTAATTTTTCTTTATTCCCTAAAAATTTTGTGATATTTTTCTTTATTTACCGTTTTATGAATAAATTCATTTTTTTTAGTAGGCATATGTTGGTTCTTAGTTTTCGACTCATTAATATTTGAGATTGAGAAAAATTTTTACCTATTGGCATGTTTTGATACGTTAACCGAGCTATTAGACCTTCAGATAGTGATTGATTTAGGTGCTCCATTTTCGCATACATGCTTTGAACAGGACTGAAAAATACATCGATGTTGAGTAAAATAAAAAAAAAATATGAGTGGCTCTTGGGGACAACACATGGAAAATTCGATTTTCCTTATCAGAAAAATTTTCCGACCCCAAAATGCACTTATATATTCAGGTCATTCAAGAAATAGTATATTACATTACGAGTGTGGAAAATCACTTTTCACGCAAGTGATGCACAATATTTTTCCCACGACCACAAAATAATGTCATCAAAAAATGTAAAACCAGGTAATAATTAAAATGTATTTTAAAAAATAATCAACAATAATCGTATTTATTCAATTTTCATATTTTTTAAACAAAAAAAAACTAAAAAAAAACTGAAAAAAAAATTCTGGCCCCGCTAGGATTTGAACGCGGTCGCTCGCCAGGTCTAAAGTGGCAAAGTTGATGAGTTCGACGTTCTAACCAACTGAGCTAATAGCCCTTGCGTAAATTGAATGATCTAATCGGTTATGTATTTAACCAGAATAAAGAGCAAACATAAATCTTAGTTATTTTAAAATTATTTTAATAATAATTGTTAAAGATAAATATCTAGGATCTAATTTACAACAATTTCAATAATTTAACAATCATATCGATTTTAGTATTAATATGGACATTGCATAGATCAAAATAGAAATTATTTGTTTGACATTTTGTGACAGCTACTGCGGAAAGTAGCATATTCGTACACGGGTGGAAAGTAAATTCGTAATCATACGCGTGTGATATTCGCTCCGTGCGCGACAGCAGCGCCAATTTGTTTTGGTATTAAAGGAGTATTTCTGCCTATACTGACAAATACAATTTTTAATAGAATTCGTAAATAAAAAGTATATATGTTAGTTTTAATAAAAGTATATGGATTTATAAAACAATTAAAACATTAATTTATTATTATTATATATTTTTCACGCTTAAATTGAAGAAAATTATGTATAATCATTAAAATTCAATAATAAAATATAGGCAACAGTATTTACTGGAAAATGTATGAGAAGTTGCCTAAGTCTAATAAGTTGTCATTGAAGAAACCATTTATAATAGCGTGAAGTTAAAATGTATAAAAAGGATCGCTACTTATATTTTCATTTTTGTTCTAAAGAAAACATAGAATGAATGATTAAAACTGGTTTCCGATCAGTAAGTCACAAAATTGCATACCAGCCAAATATTATAATCAACGGCAGAAATCTTGAAATCTAGTCCTTGCTGAATGAACATTTAAGAATAAAGGGATATTAAAGAACATCGTAAAATGATAATTTATTGTTTATTTAAAAACTTTCTAGTTTCTGATGTCTACTATTTCCAGCATTACTGTTATTATCACAAAAATAAAGGTAATTTTTCTTCTTATTGTACACCTATCCATTTATTTCTTTGATTTAATTTCCACTTTGTTAGTGAAATTTGTTATATAAGTTTCACTGTTTTTTTTTGCTAGTATTTGTACAATTTTCAACACAGCAACTCCGGTTGCTTATTGTGTTGTTTTTACCTACTTTTTTGAAAAAAAGTAAAATGTATACGTGTATTTGATATGCCAAAATTACAAAATATCCCCCTAAAATGCACGAATTATCCGCAGCTAGCGCTAGTATCGCTTTTGCTTCCCTTTCCATGACTTCGCACGGAGCGAATAGGGCACTTTCCACATGACTATATAGTGTGATATGTGTCACTTTTCTAAGTGGTTGTAGGAAAATATATTTTACGGACTAGTGACGATGTACGTTTTCATACATTCGATGGGCTTGTGTGGAAAATCTGGTAAAATCTCGATTTTTCCTTATAAGATTACGCCGTTATTTCAACCCTTTAGCCACTTGCAAAATTAAAGCCTTTGGTTTTCCAAAGCCTAGTTCTATTAATTAATCATGAAAACGGCTTGCGTGGAAATATGGGCAACAAATAGCCTTTCATTTTTGTTAGGGAAAATCGAATTTTCCATGTGTTATCCCCAGGAGCCACTCGTAAATTTACTTTCAGTCTACTTAAAATCGATGTACCTTTCAACCCTCTTCGAGTCTTGTATGAGAAAAAGGGGCATCTAAACCTGTCACTATCTGACGGTCTATATATTTATCTTTTTTCTCTTCAAAGATTTTTTAAAAATATTTTTTAGTTTGTGCATTTTTTCTGCATACCATTTGACATTGCATGAGTTGTAGAAGTCATGATATGTGTAAATTTCAATATTTGACTAAAATTCTTGAATATTTCTGATGAGAACTAATACCATGTCTTGCAAATATAGACTTCAAATAAGTTGTTATTGTTAAACTAGTATTTTCATTAATTGCGTCCACTTCTATGTATTTAGAGTAATAATACACTACTAGCAAAAACTTTTTCCCATTCATTTCAAATAAAGCACATGCAACTTTATTCCATTGCAAAAGATTTATTTCATGTAATTTCAATGGCTAATGTATTTTTGACGACTGCACTTTTCGGTTTGGCCTTAACGACAACTTCGTTTGTGTTCTGTTATTCGTGTACCAATGCTGCTCTTTGTTTATCCTATGCAGTGGCGGCTCATGATAATACGAGATGGTAGTGCCAGATTTTTAACAAATGTGAAAAAAATTTTAAGGTACAACGCCCAAATTTTTAACCAAAAGTCATTTAAAAAACTTGCTTTGTGCAAAAATTTATCACGTTATTGTCAAAATAGATATAAATTTTAATTAAATAAATGAAGGACGTATACTTTTATATCTATTATATAACTACTATTTATAAAGTTTCTAACACAAGTTTTGCCACGAAACAGGCCGACAGGGTTAGTCCTATCCTAAACTTTGCCAATAAATTACTCAAAACTTATCAAAGAACTTTGTAAAATTAATTAAAAATTATAAATTAACTTACCTCTACTAATTAATGCTGAAAGTCCTTGCAGTTTGTTATTACCATAAAGAGTCTTTAGGTCCATATACCAAACAAAATCACAAAAAAATATACCTATTTACGGTATTTACAAACGCGCACAAAGTTGCTTGATATATTAGTTTTAAAGTTTCCGATAAATGAAATCCATTCTTCTTTCTTTTTTGGTTGCAAAATTTTCAATTACTTTATTATCAAAATTTTCAATTCCATTTACAAAATGTTTTTCTGCGGACAACATACTTAAAGCACTAAATCTTTCTTCCTTCATTGTATTTCTGAGGAATGTTTTAATCCGTTTAAGCATTGAAAAACAGCGCTCTGCTTCAGATGTTGACATAGGTATTGTTATCAAAATACCTAAAAGTTTAAGAGTTTCCTGAAATGTACAATTTAAACATTCCTCATTTAATAAAATTGACAGTGGTACAGCTCTGGAGGTGGTATCTAATTCGTCTCTCTGATACAGTACTTGTAATTCATTTTTAAGCATATTTTTGTCTAAAAATGAAAATTGTTTCATTGAGGAATGATTTGGGAAACTAATGCCTATAGACCGAAAACTTCTCAGACATAAATAAATTAGAAGCGACCAAATGCCCAGAGAAGTTGAACCTTGTTTTTATTTGCAATAAAACGGCATCACATATTTCTAAGGCTTCGCGTTTTTTGCTGTTCTCTTCAATTTGTGCCTTTTTTTTTATTGGTTCACCAGTTTCTCCTTCCAACGTGTTTATTTCTCCTTGAATATTGTCAATAATGCTGTCCATTTGCTCTAGTATACCTTGAATTGCTGCTTCGAAATTCTCCAAATCTTTCTTGAACTTAACAGAATCTGCGCATACTTTTTGTAATTGGTTAAAAAGTAATTTCCACGTGAGGCATTATTTGATGAAAAATACTTAACCAAAATATATAATTTTTATCCTGAAGTTTCAATTTATATCCACTTGCTTGATTAATAGACGACGAATCGCGTGAAGTACTTTCTATAATGTCCACAACTGTAATAAGGTCTTTTCTATTCTCATAAATAGTATGAACACGTCGCGATTGAAAATTCCAACTTGTTTGGGAAGATCTTGGCAACCTGCGATTAACTACCTTATCCAAAATTTTTGTTCTTTGAGGAGACGTGGAAAAGAAAGAGCACAAACCAGATAAATTAGAAAAAATTATTCTAGCCTGCTTATTGACAGAACATACACTTGTCATAACTAAATTCATCTGGTGTGCATAGCAATGAATATAATTTGCAAGAGGATATGTTTGTTTAATAATTTTTTGTACACCACTCATTACAGACGTGCCGTCATAGCTTTGAGCAATTAATTTATTTGGACTATGTTTTAATAATGGATGTAAAACATTTAAAATGCATTCAGCGATTCATTTGGCGTCGTGTCCATCGAGCAAGTAAAACTTCCAAAATCTCTCAACTGGTCGTCCTTTACACAAATATCTGAAAACTACAACTAATTGAAATTCACAAGCAACGTCCGTCGTTTCATCGGCAATCACTACAATAAAAGGAGAATTTTCTATTTCTTTCCTAACTTCTTCGTGATAAACATCTAACATGCACTCAAGAAATTAATTTTGGGTTGTTTTTGAGGTACCTTTGAAAGCTTTTGAACTTTGAATATGAATCTTTGAGTCGTTGTCTAATTCGGCGCTAAAATTCACCAGCTCCATAAATATGCCTTTTTTTTCGAATTATCTTTCTCATCGTGACCCCTTAAAGCTAACTCAAAAGCTCCACAAAACCTTATACAATTTATAATTTGATTTAAAACATATCGATTCTTATCCACTTGTTGATTATGTTCAATTAGAGCATGACGATAAGCCGAATTTAACTGGGTTTTTATATTTAACTTACCAAGCATAGAAAAGCTAAAAACATTATTCATTCGCACTTTAGATTTTTCATGGAATTTCATTTTATCCCATATATGGACAAGATCATCTGTGCCTTTTTTTGACTAAGTCTCGTCACCTCCAAACAAAACACATACAAAACAAAACAGTTTATTAGTTTCTTCGTAACCACACAACTAATTATTTTTATCATAAATAGTTTTATTAAATTTACGACACCGCGATTTTTGCCCACTTCCACTTTGTTTTTCAATTTTAAAATCGGGAATTGGCCGGCCTAATTCTTTAATTTGTAGTTTTTCTTCTAGCGAAAAACCACTAAAAGAGTTTTCTAAGACGCCAATTTTATTCATTGTCACAATAAATTAAAAACTAGGAAATATGATATTTAGACAAGTTTATCGAAAACAAAAAGATACACATTAACGTCACTAATACTTCGTAACGTATAACGAAATACTTAAAAGCGCCTAAAAAAAATCGGTTAATTTAGTCAACAATCGACATTATCGAGAAACCGTGATTATCTGAACCGCTATCGGCACTGTGCCTGGCATGAACATTCCTTGATTTTACCGTTTAAATACATGTAAAATGTCCACATCTCTGTTGCTCACATAGACTGCTGGTAAAATCTCTCTCTCTCTCTCCTAGTGTCAGCTGAGAAATGGCTCCGGTACGCGGCAAGAGCTTGGAGATTTATACAGCGCGAGGTTGCCACATTTCAAATAATTCTTGAAAATAAAAAGAAATGCATAAAATAAAAATATGATAAGACGTTTTAAAAATAAAAAATATATTTTTGCATCAAAAATAAGGTAGTGCCATGGCACAGTGGCACTACCTCACGAGTCGCCACTGATCCTATGTACACTTTTCCACAAGTTTATGGAATTCTGTAGACTCCTGCTGATGTGAATGGGTCTCTGTGGTCTTTCGCTCGTTTAAGATATTCCCTTATTATTATTATATTTAATAAATTTTTAAGTTTAAAATCTATTTAGATATTCAGTTGAAAAGCCAGAGGAGTGCACGTGCACGTCCTTCGCGGTGCCTATGTTTTTAGTCTTCATAATAATTATAACTAAATAATCAAAACATTTTAAGCATTACTTTAACATTTTCAGGTGGAATTCTCACAGTATTCGAACCCAGCGAAAATATAAAACAGAACGCACAGCATATATTCGAATGTTGGGAGTCATGTTTAAAAGGAGAACTAGCTAGAATAAAAATACGACTACAACTTTTAAAAACCGATGCGAGTACTAATATCGATATATTTTTTAACACTTTAAAAAACACATATCTTTCGTTGTACGAGGAAAATAGATTGAGATATGAAACAGAGTCAAATAGCTTTAAGAATGTGTGCTATGTTTTGTCACTTGCCGTCGAAAGAGAGATTCCAGTACAAGATGAGTTGGTATTGATTACAGAAGAGTTTTCAGTAAATCCAGAGTCCCTTCTGTTTGAAGATTCAATAGATATGTTTGACGAACCTGTAGAACCGCCAGAAGAATTAGTATTTACTATAAGTCAGTTACATACTCTTATAGAAATATTTGTTGATTTAGGTCCAGATGGATATCTGTCCGAGCGTGCATTTACTTTTTTATTACAAGATATGGCTTTAAACAGCGACCAAAAACTAATACCCAAAGAGTGGATGAAATTAACAGGACCTAATATAAGTCATATCAGCCAAGAAATGTTCGGACCTCAGAAATTCGTTTGCTGGAAAGATTTTATTATTTACAATTTAATTCTACCGTTTCCGACAGTCGACGAACTTATCGAAATCCGAAATAATTTTAGAAATTTTGATGGTAAACGTACTGAATTAATCCACATCAATGACTATCAGTCTATTAATTTCTGGTTCGAGGCAGACGAGAAACTCGACGTTGATGGAATCAAAAATCTATTATTCAGGATGTATCAAGTCGACGAAAACTTCTCGAACTATACGGCGATGTTGTTCGATTTTTGCAAAAGTGACAACACTATTGTGGGGATAGCTAAGGCGTTTGCAGTAGTGTGCGGGAAATCGGTTTGTTGGGATAAGGCGATAGGCAATATGTTTATTGAGTCTGCATTAGAGCAACGGACGCTTCATGATGAACAGGTAAGAAAACATTCAGATATTTTTTTTTACCGGTCAGTATCCGGTTGGATGATTTACCCCTAAGGAACAACTTAGATCGGAATACTGTTTAACTCTCAATATCCTCTCATGAATGAAGATGCTGGAATACATTTTCGAATTAAAGAGCATCGACAACCTTTTATGTAATTTATTCTAAATCACTCGCACCTTGACCTTGTTTGTCATAAAGAAGAGAGGAAAGCAGAATGAGTACACTCAAGCTAAAGTCGTTTCAGAACAGCGACTCCGTGCCAGTATCGATTTCTATAAATCGATTTGAAATTATCGTTTAATAGCACTTATCATAGGGCCCCGTAGTGTCGATCCAATTCTTACCCGAGTTGCAGCTCCCCAACGATACCCTATGTGAATGGACACCAGGGGCGGTTTCTCCATTGGTTCATTTGTGCAGTGAGGTCCTTTCGCCACACCTCTCGCCTCAAATGTTAAAAAAAAGTTATTAGATTTTGACTAAAATTAATTTTTTTCTAATAGTTGAAGTCCTTATTTATCTAATGCTGAACTTTTAACTATACCTTACCTTGAAAATTTTTGAGAATTTTTTTTTTAAAAATGTGAATATTTGTACAGTGCCTCACGAGAAAGTAAGTCCTCAACAACAATTCTCGAATTATACTATTATTTATTGATTAGATGGAGTAGAAAAAAACTAAAAATAAGGTTTTTGAAATATTTAGAATTTGTTTTATACAATAAAATATATATAGTAAACCGTGGAACTTATTGAGAAATTAATATTAAAAAATCACAAAAAATTTTCAAGTAACCTAGTTGAAAATTTTTTGTGAATTTTAATAATAATTTCCCAATAAATTCCACGGTAACCTATATATTTTATTGTAAAAAACAAAAGCTAAATATTTCAAAAACCTTATTTTTAGTTTTTTTTCTACTCCATCTAATCAATAAATAATAGTAAAATTAATTATAATTCGAAAATTGTTGTTGAAGTCTTACTTTCTCATAAGACACTGTACAAACAAACACATTTAAAAAAAAAAAAATTCTCAAAAATTTGCACGGTAAGGTATCATAGTTAAAAGTTCACTATTAGATAAATAAGGACATCTACTATTAGAAAAAAATTAATTTTAGTCATAATCTAATATTTTTTATTTAACATTGGTAGCGAAAGGACCTCCTTCATAAGAGCACATTATTTTTAAAATCTCATAAAAATAACGTAATATAAATTCACTTTAATTCCATTATTTATGGAATAATTAAAAATGAACCTAAATTTTAAACTGCCATATTATATTTGTTAAAAATGCATGTATTTCGCCGCGGGTTTTCTAGTTGGATAGCTTTTTTCTTCGTCTCTTAGAATTAAAGCCTTTATTTTGCCATTTGCCAATATTATACAGGGCATTTTACAAAGTGTGCACCCATGTAAAATTCACAAAATTTTAATTTGGGATTTGGAAAGTATGAGCGTATAAAAATTTCAATTTTTTAGACCATTGATTACAGCTTTCCTTTGAGTAGCTCCTGTATCAGTTTCATCTCAGTGCCGTGTGTGATAAATAAAAAATAGGGTTTTTCAAAAAAAAATTTTTGGACAAAAACACTAATTTTTAGTACTTTCATTGCCATAAAGACTTTTAATTATCAAGGATGGTAAAGCTATAGTTAATGTAAGTCATTTATACAAGGTAATTCAAAAGTACTTAAGCTTAAATTTAAAGATTTTTTATAATTTGTTTCATTGGGTTATTGGGGATAAAAAACAAAGACGAAAATACAAAACTAAATTTATGAACTAAAAAATTAATAACGTGTGTTTCCTCCACGAGCATCAATAACAGTCTTGCAGCGATTCGGCATGCTAAGTATTAAATTCCGTATAAACATAGGGTCAATATTATTCCATATACGCTGTAGAGCCTATTGTACTTGCTCCAACGTTTCTGGCGGATTAGGTGCCTCACAAAGCTCAACACCCATTTTATCTCACAAATGCTCAATGGGGTTAATATTTGGGCTTCGGGCTGGCCAATCCATTATGGCAATATCAGTTTCATCTATATACTCCCTTACTACTCTTGCCATATGCGGTCGTGCATTATCGTGGATAATCAGGAAGTCTTCCCCAATAAATGGAGCAAATGGTAAGACATGCTTTTGCAGAATTTCCGTAATATATTGGTCAGCCGTTAAACGTTCTACAAAAGCTAGGTCCGTTTTTGTCCCTAATAAAATACCTCCTAAAACCATTACCGAACCCCCTCCGTAACTAACACGCCCTTTAAATTTGCATTGTGCATACCGTTCGATAGGTCTTCTATACACTTTTACGCGTCTATCATTACTGTACAGGCAAAACCGGGATTCATCGCTAAATAAAACGTTAGACCATTCCCGTTGATACCACGGCAAATGCTCCCGAGCAAACTGGAGTCTTTGAATCCTGTGATGTCTCTCTAACTTTGGTCCAATCGCTGCCTCATAGGGTTGTAGCTGGGCTTCTTTTAATCGTTTAAGAACTGTTTGTTTGCACACTCTTACATTATGTACATTGGCCAAATGCGCCTGTAACTTTGTTGTCCTTGTAAATCATTCCCTGAGACACTGCAGAGTTAGGAAACGATCCTGGTTAGGAGTAGTTTTCCTATGCCTGCTCTTTTTTAATTGGATCCAGTTTCACAATATCTTTTTCAAATTTTGGAAATAGCCCCTTGAGTTTTTCCCATAATTCGTCCAATATCGCTCTGCGAACAACCCTGTTCAAAAAGTCCTCTAGCGAAGCCACAGTCTTCTGGGGTTATAAAGTGGTTATTATTCATAATTTTAAAACCGTAGGCAAATGAAAACCTGACTAATCAATAGGTATATACTTAACAGAAAACTAAAATAACTATACTGTCACTCTTACTAAAATAGTAAAAAACATCAACCATCTCAAAGCCAACTTAACTGCATGTATGTATGTATGTACGCATTATTGCTAGTATTGTGTTATGACATGTACAGTATTGATATAAGACGAGGTTAAGGCTTCAAGGCTTAACGGGTTTTAAGATTGGTAGCTTTTTCGTTGTTTTTTATTCCCAATAAAACAAATTATAAAACTCTTTAAATTTAAACTTGAGTACTTTTAAATCACCTTGTATAAATGACTTACATTAACTAAAGCTTTACCATTCTTGATAATTAAAAGTCCTTATGGCAAAAAAAAGCACTACAAATTAGAGTGTTTTTGTCTAAAGAAAGATTTTTGAAAAACCCTATTTTTTTATTTATCACGCACGGCACTGAGATGAAACTAATACAGGAGCTACTCAAAGGAAAGCTGTAACCAACGATCCAAAAAATTTAAATTTTTACACGCTCATACTTCCCAAATCCTAATTTAAAATATTGTGAATTTTACATGGGCGCACACTTTATAAAATGCCCTGTATAATATTGGCAAATGGCAAAATAAAGGCTTGGTTTCTAAGAGACGAAGAAAAAAGAAATATTCCAAAACCCGCAATGAAATACATACATTTTTAACAAATATATGGCAGTTTAAAATGTAGGTTCATTTTTAATTATTCCATAAATAATTGACGGAGTGTATATTTATTATTTTTGTTCGTATTACAGGGTTATGATGGACAAGTAATGTTATTTTTAACAGACACGTTATTTGTGAACATATTGTTATTTCTGTGTGTTTATAAAATAACAGACCTGTTAAAAATAACACAGGTTGTCAATCATAACCCCCTAAATCTCTACTTTTTTGGTACCACACTGCGCTCAGACTGATCGCGTCTGTGTTCAATATGTTGATTAAACGTGAGAGGTGTCTGAGAATGAATATTAAAAAGACGGGTTAGTAGATCCGTGAAACAGCAGTGTGCCTGCTTGAAACCACGCTATTTTTAGCATCAATTTGTGCATCGCACGTAGATTACATCACGACAGTTAACTTCGCTTGGTCCAACGATTAGTTGTTGTGCTTCGTCAAGGTCACTCTGACTAGGAGTCTTTAGTTCAACGTTGCCACGTTTGGTAGATTTCTGCTTTTTAGTTAGGTTTTCAGCTATTTTGGCTAGTTTTAATAGACAATTTTCTTTTGGAAGATTTCAGTAGATTTCCATAAATATTTAAAAAAAATTCAATTACTCAAATAAAACTTCCTACTTAAATAATTTTGTTGCCAAAATGGATTGCTAAAAACGTCAAGGCCGGGCGATAATCAAAATAAATAATCGGTTATTTTCGTCTAGTAGATTACTAAAAATAAACGATTCTTTATGATTTATCGATTATTTTCGATTAATCGATTATTTCCGATTCACGGATTATTTTCAATTAATCGATTATTTCAGGTTAACGAATTCTTTTAATTCTTTTCGACTCCTATCTTTTTTGATTATTTTCGATTCTTTTTGATTCCTTTCGATTCTTCTCGATTCTTTTTTATTCTTTTCGAATCTTTTCGAATCTTTTCGATTCTTTTCGATTCTTTTCGATTCTTTTCGATTCTTTTCGATTCTTTTCGATTCTTTTCGATTCTATTCGATTCTTTTCGATTCTTTTCGATTCTTTAATAAAACACAGTATTCTTGTATGTTATGGTTGATATCTTTGCAGAAAATAATAGTTGAAGTATAATAATAATAATAATAATAATAATAATAATAATAATAATAATAATAATAATAATAATAATAATAATAATAATAATAATAATAATAATAATAATAATAATAATAATAATAATAATAATAATAATAATAATAATAATAATAATAATAATAATAATAATAATAATACTCTCCCTAATGTATGTATGTATGTATGTATCGACCTATAGTCTAGAGAAGAAAGGAGTGCAGTAATTTAATTAACAGATTGAAGTACCAGTTCAAGAGGTAGACATTTTATTTATACACTTCATCCTTCAATGTTTATTTGTAATTAAAAAGAGATTAAAGAAGTTTAATCCCATTAACAACATATTTTTGTTATTTATTGGTTAAATTTAATTCGTTTAATGATAAAGTGCAACAATTTTGTCAGAAGCATAAGGTTTATTTTTATGTTTTGTAAATAATATAATTTTTTTTATTAAAAATTTAATCTACGAAGTGCGTATATACCATGACCTTATTTCTGTTATAGAAATTTATTTTACAAAGTATGCCTATGTAATGTGACGTTTATCCCCACTTTTACTGCACTCCCCTTTTATTCAAGTTATAGTAAAGTGGTGTTAGCCCAGTCAATGTGGTCGGACTTTCGGAAAATTATTCCTTGCGAAAATTCACTTGTTAAATGACTATTTTCAAAAGGATGCGATTTACTACAGTTGATGAAGTGACGGATAAGTGGTTGACGTTACCTCGTAATCGATGGTGGGTGATGAATTAACGATTTCACTTTTTGCCAGAGTTTCAGATGGTCTATTGACTCGGGGACCTTGGATACTGAGAAATTATGTAAGCGAAGTAAACCTGCAATAACACTTGACTTGCTTCGCTTACGTAACTTCAGAACTCGCAAACCGGTATTCTGAATAAAGCTGGAAAATCAATTATTATTTAGTGAAAGATTCCTATCTTAGTTCTCCACAGGTTAACACAGGTGAACAAAAACCACTGCTTTACTGGCACAAGAGTAGCGGAAAAATAGCTGCGAAAAAGGAGCAGTGGAAAAGGAGAAAACATTCTCGGGAGCTCGACTTTATACTTTACGCTCGGACTAGTTCCCTTTCCGAGTGGTTTGGAGTGGGTGTAGCCAATATTTACAAATCAGTGGACTGAAAAAAATGTCTCTTTGACATTTGCGAGAATTACCAAATAATTTAACTGAATTTGAGCGTTAAAAGGTGGATTCGAATATCAGTAAATAATGAAATATTTTGAACTACGAGGGCTCCCGCAAATGTTCAAACACAGACAGAAATAAAATTACGGGGGTTCTTGAGATATTAACTTGTATTAAACATTTTTATAATTATAATTAAATAAAAGGAAAATTTAGTGAATAAACCAACAAGTTTATTTATTTTAATGATATATTTTTAATGATTGCAGTAATAACTCTTAAAAAAAAAGATTGTTCTTTTTTATTATTACAGTTACAGAGGTCCGTCCATTAGGTCATAACTTATTATTTTTATTGGCTTAATTTTTATTTTCTTAGGTAAAATTGAGAGATAATGAAATAAAGGAACATGTAGAATTTGCTAAGACGATTGTGGACCGTCTAATTGATAATACAGTTCATCTTTGCGATAGCCTGACAATTACAGAAATCCCAAATGACGAACAAGATGCAAAAGACACGATTCACAATCTAACTGGAGATACTTTGACTAGTGAAATTACGACTGAAGAACAGCAGAAATCGCAGGGAAGTGCAAAGCAAAAAAAAGAATCGTTTTGTAACATTGGTTACGAAGTTAAAAAGTATCCGTCTTATTATTATTTTATCAATCTTGATGACATTATTACTGTTTTAAGTAGAACTTTCAACTGGAGAACCAAGAATTCTGAAAATTCGATAATTTACGAGTTTATCGAGCAACTTTATGTAACATGTAAAAACCCGACGTTTAATAATCAAGTCTTTAGCCACCAATTCCTTAATAATAGTGACTTTTTAAAAATATTTGGATCGACTAAAAAATTTTTAATCATTCGACCCTATTCGATAGTTCAAAAATTTTTAATAGAAGCTCAGTTAAGGGAATTCTAAACGCAATAAATAGATTTACTTTATTCGACTTTTATTTTACGTCTTGGTCCCATTCGAGTTTATATTTAATTTAAAACGATTTAAATGTTCAAAGTTGTTTTCAAAACTGTAAAAACGTCTTTTCCGACAACAATAGATCATGAGCTACCCATATAAACCATCCCCTTCCCTGAGAATTTATGATTCACACATTATTTTTTTCTTGGTATATCATATATACTTTAATTCCAAAATAGTAGGCACTAAATCAGGTGTGGGCAAATACTTTTAAGCACGGGCCAAATTTGTTTTTCGGGTAAAACTGCGGGCCTCCCCATAATTAGAAAATCATTTAAAAACTTATTATCTATATATTTCTAAATTTTACAATAAAATTGAAAAATTTGCTTTTATTATTATTTTACCTTCGATAATATCCAACTAATTAAACAATTAAAAGAGCCGGATCCGGCTCGCGAGCCGGCTTTTGTCCACCCCTGCACTAAATTTTTAGAAATGGTTGTGACTATGAAGACTTGTGACGTGTTTGCATTAATCTGTTTCTTTCAGTAGCGTACAGATAATATCGTAAAAGTTTTGGGCTAGACTACTTTTTTGTTTGACTTGAAAATCGGCAGAGGATTATTAATAAGCAGAGGATTTATGAAATAAATAAATTGAGGAAATGTCGGAGTCACAATCGGTATGGACGCTATTTCAAAACAAAAAAAAATACAGTATTATATTATTATTCATTATTGTCAGAAGAAAACTCGTCGGATAACAAACAACTATAATCGTCATTGCTATTATTTAAGTTGAGAATCAATGGTTCAACTACAACATCCATTCTAGTGTCAAGATCCCACATTTTGTCTTTTGTTGTGTCTTAAACGCCCTACACACGTAACGATTTATCGTACTGCGCTTTGAACTGCAGATCGTAAAGAAAATCGTACGGCTTGCAGTACAGCCATTTTTTGTACACACGATGCAACACATTGTACTGCCGCAGTTCAGATTATTCAGTTTTCGTCGAGAAGGGCTACACCGTTATGTCAAGAAATTTAAAGAAGAAAGCTGCCGTGCTTGTAGCTGCGGTATTGCTGATAGATGAAGATGAACAAAAAGAAATCAAAAAGCGAAAATGGTGTAAAAAGTGGTTGCTGGAGAGAAATAAATATTCACATATGAGGTTGTTAAAAGTGCTGTAAAAAGAAGAACCTCTTGATTTTAAAAACTATTTAAGGCCAAGTTCAATGACAAGTGACGGCGACTTTTTTATCACAAGAAATACAGCTCTGAACGATAATATTTTAAAAAACTGTTTTCATAAATGGGTTCAAAAAACTGTAAAAAATGATGGAAAGTCTATGGTTTGTTTTACTTTTAATGCATAATATTTTAATAAGTGATATTTAACAAATATTTAAAAGTTATGGACTTTCCATCATTTTTTATAGTATTTAGAAGTTAAAACGCAACATACATTCTTTTATTTTTGCCTAATTATTTCAGGATTCTTGTGATAAGATTTAAAAATGTAGGGCCCATAAGATGCTGCCATCTGAACAGACGGAATAGACACTAAAATGAAAAATTGCAACATCGCTCCCTATGCAGACGAATGTAAAATGGCTTAGCCCAATTTGACCATGTTTATGGGTGAGGGGCGAGGTGGTGTGCGGGGAAAGGTTGCAAGTAAATAAATTATTCTATAAATGCTATTTTCTGTTTGGAACACAACACAAGCATGTTTGTTTTGAAAGTTTGACGTTTATGGTTTGACGTGTCATTTCAATTTAATGGACTTTAATAATTTAAAAGATGCAATGTACTTATATTATTTATATATATATTATTGTAGATATTGTTTTCGCCTTTCGGTTTTTATTTTATTTTTATTTTATTTATTTGGCTAGTTTGCTAATATCACAATATTCAAATTTAGTAAAAAATAATGTAATAATATAACAATTATTTTAATAACATTCTAAATAGGAAATGTAATTTAACTGCAATTGTTTTAATAACAGTATTTGCATATGGTCTGTGAATTTCATCTGTTTCCGAATAATTACCCTTAAATATTTGAATTTTTCCACTAACTGTATAGATTTTCTTCCAATTTCCTATATTGTTTGTCCACAAACTGCATATAGTTATTACTTATCAGCTTATATTTTGTTTTAGGTATTTGTGTTGATTTTTAACAAATGATTGCAACATCATTTATAAACATTTTTCAGAGTTTCATTGACAATTAACTCTTAGTTATCTGAATCCTTACAACTTACAAGAAACATAGATAAGGACATCATAGGCAAACAGGTAAATGTCATATTAATTATTGCAACATTAACAATCATTAATATAAATTAAAAATAACAGGGGACCTAATTTTCTTCCTTTGATGTGGTTAATTTCTTCTGATCAGAACAGTGATTCTTTTGTGCCAACTCGACACATTACATACAGAATAGAGAGAGACATTACATCAAAATCGCTGTCTGTCGAACAAAGATAGGAGTCTCGATAGGAGACGTACTCAAAAGATTTCTCTCTGACCTGATACTTAGATAATCTACATGCTACCCCAACGCATGCTTTATAGCATAGATATAAAAACCACCTTTAAACCAATACTATTTAATTTTTTTATCGAATGATTTCGATCAACAGAATCAAGTGCATTTTAAAGAAATACAATTAATTTTAAATTGTACATATATGGCGGATTGTACAATAGGCAGTTAAAATGTTAAACTGTGAACCTTGTTGTATACTCATCGGTTATTGTTAAACATAGTTTTAAAAATGACATTTGTTTTTGAATATAACTAGTTAAAAATAAAACTCTTGTTAGTTAAAATATGTTTAGAATATTTTTTGTACATACATAATGTATTTTGTAATAATTAAAAATCATAATATTCTTGTAAGGAAGTTGGAATGCTTAGGGTTTGATCAGTCGCTGTTGAGATTATTTTCATCTTACCTAAATCATCGTTTTTATTGTCTTTTACAACGGATTTTCATCTTCACCCCTCACAGCAATATCTGGAGTTCCACAGAGCTCCAATCTGGGACCACTATTATTTAGTATATTTATAAATGACTTGGCAATAAATTTAACCTGCTATTCGCTGCTGACTAAAAAATATTTACCTCAATCTCATCAATTTAAGACTGTTACTTTTTACAGACCCAACTTGGGAATCGTTGAAAATTGGTGTAATGAAAACAAGCTGAATGAATGTGTCTAAATGTGAAGTATGTTCCTATACTAGAAGTATTATATATCTATAAGTTCTTGTAGCTTTGACAATAAACATATATTGATTGATTAACAAGGTGGAGTTTGATATTTTATTTAACAGCCTACATTTATCGGACTTGTGCACAAATTGAATATTAAGGTATATTATGCAACCAAAAAGTTACTTTTTCGGATTATATTGAAAATACAGTTGCTTCTGCGTTGAAAAGCTTAGGGTTCTTAATTCGTAATACTCGTTCTTTTACAAACTCTTAAAGCTTGGAGATCCTTTACTTTTCTTTAGTTCGTTCCAGGCTAGAATATGCATCTCTTATCTGGAACCTTATTTACAATATTCATAAAAGATCATTGGAAAATGTTCAGCGGCGATCTCTCAAGTACCTTTCTTTTAAAATAGATGAGCTGTATCCCATTCGAGGTATTGAAGAATCTCTGCTTCTTTCGAAAATAGAAGGGTAGTTTCCAGTGTTACATTTTTTTATAAAATATTACATAACACTATTGATGTACTATTTTTGATAAATTAAATAAATTTTAATGTTCCCCAAACAGCCATTAGATATCATAAAACATTTTATACAGCAAGTATTTGAACGAACTTGGGAAGAAATTCACCTACAAGGCTAATGTGCTCAAATTTTAATTAATTTTGTTCTGATTGGGATATTTATTTCGACCATTAGTTGTACTAATTTGTAGCTAATGTATTTAGGATTCTTTCTTTTTTTTTTCTTGCTGTTGCTAAAATTATTTTCTGTCGAAATATTATGTTTAACATTTATTTTATGTATTTTGTTCTGTAAATGGATTAATTTGTTGGGCAATAAAATTATTTTTATTTTATTAAGCAAAAAAAATGTTTATTTTGATGCACCTACCACCTTTAAAAGTTTGTCAGTACATTAACTTAACGAGAAATCCTATATAATTCCCAAAGAAAAATATTTTTGGAATAAATTCCGAATTCTATTTATTGATATTTGTTATTTTTTAGGTTCAGTGACTCGAAACATGATGATCAGCTACACCAAGAATATCCTTGATACTTTAAAAAAATGGTACGAGATTAAGCAGATTTGATGCTATGTCACATTGTGGTGCGAAGACGTGGCTTGTAAAAATTTGGGGTATCAGTTGATAGAAAACAGTACGCAAAAATAAATTTAAATCTGCAGATGCATCAGATATAGCCATATTCCATACCACAATATGTCATGCGTGAACTCGATGAGATTTCATCGGCTAAGTATCATTCCTCTGTAATGTTTTGTATCATTATGAACACGAAACATTGTAAACAATTATGACCAGGGTTTTCTGACCTTTTCCCTAGGTCAGAGAGAATAAATGAATACTAAATAATGTATAGTAATAAAGATTGAAAATATATATACTTTTAAGAGTTTTATTATGTCAGCCATAGTTTTATACCAAAAATGAAAATAAACTGAAATTATACATTAAAAATACTTTCATAAATAACTATATTTATAACACTCATCGACTCTCTCCTGGCTAAAATATGACTTATCTATCTATTAGGCTCTGTTCCGTCTATTTTTTGCCTTTAGCCTCCTTCTGACACTTCCATTCGTTCTTATTCAGTGTAGTATTCACATAGTTTTCAGAATATCAAGTGTTATACCTATCTGATGCTTGGTCCTGCAAAGTTCATCTTCAGTACACCTGCTTATGTGACATCTATCTCGATGTCAAGTTTGATTGAACACCCGTTTCTTATCTATTACTCTTATACTTAACCACAACTAGCTTAGACTTGAACGCATATGTCTAATTCGGCCAAAACACAGCCTTGGTACACAAATATCTCTTTTACCGCTGGTTTCATTACAAAAAACTGGAGTAAAGGGTAAAATTATCTCTTGTCCAGTACACTCGTATAATACACTTGAGTATTGCCTATATTATTTTTGATTGAAGACGTATACATTTAAAAATCTCGTTTACTTAAAAATAAACATTTAATTTTGATATTGTATTTAACTCGATCAAAACATTAAATTATTATTTTCCATGGCTTATACCGGACCTGTATGTACCCTAGTAGCCATGGAGTAGCTGACAGTGTTGCCGTCAGTTGCCGCCACATATTCATTAGTGACATACGTTTTATAAATTCATCGTGTTAGAAATTTGTTGACAAAAAGAGATAGAAAC